AATGCTATTCCAATCAAAATCTCAATGGCATTCTTCAAAGAAATAGAACAATTATTGATGAAATTCATATGGAATCACCAAAAACCCCGAATAGCCAAAGCTCTACTGAAAAAAAAAGAAGGAAATGGAGGCATCACACTCCCAGACTTCAAACTATACTACAAAGCCATAATCATCAAAACTGCATGGTATTGGAACAAGAACAGACATACAGACCAATGGAATCGAATAGAAAATCCAGAAATAAACCCACAGATTTATGGTCAACTAATCTTTGACAAAGGAGCAAAGACTATGCATTGGAGCAAAGAAAGTTTGTTCAATAAATGGTGCTGGGAAAACTGGGTCGCTACATGCAAAAGAATGAAGCTTGACCACTACCTCACACCATACACAAAAATCAACTCAAAATGGATTAAAGAACTAGACATAAGACCTGAAACCATAAAATACATAGAAGGAAATATAGGCGAAACACTACGGGATTTGCACATCAAAGACATCTTTACAGACACATCACCCAAAGCAGTGATAGTGAAGAGAAAGATAAACAGCTGGGACTACATCAAATTAAAGAGCTTCTGCACAGCAAAAGAGACAATAACAAAAACAAAGAGAAACCCCACCAACTGGGAGAACATTTTTGCACCCAACACTAATGATAAAGGACTGATCACAAAAATCTGCAAAGAGCTGATGAGACTCAGCAACAACAAAGAAAATAATCCAGTCAAAAAATGGGCAGAAGAGCTAAAAAGAAACTTCTCTGAAGAGGAAATGCAAATGGCCAACAGACATATGAAAAAATGTTCAACATCACTCGTAATCAGGGAAATGCAAATCAAAACTACCATGAGATACCATCTCACACCAGTGAGAATGGCACATATTAAAAAAACTAGCAACAACAAATGTTGGCGAGGATGTGGAGAAAAAGGAACTCTCCTGCACTGTTGGTGGGAGTGCAAACTGGTCCAACCACTATGGAGAGCTGTGTGGAGATTTCTGGACCTACTAAACATAGAGCTTCCATATGATCCAGCAATTCCACTCCTAGGTATTTACCCAAAGGACACAGAAACATCAATTCCAAAGAGCACCTGCACTCCTATGTTTATAGCAGCACTGTTTACAATAGCTAAGCTTTGGAAACAGCCCAAATGCCCAAAAATAGATGACTGGATCAAGAAGATGTGGTACATATATACCATGGAATATTACTCAGCATTCAAAAAAGATAAACACATGCAATTTGCAGCAACATGGATGGCACTGGAAGGGATCATGCTCAGCGAAATAAGCCAAAAAGAAAAAGAAAAATACCGGATGGTCTCACTCATAGCAGGAATCTAGAAAACTTAAATAAGGGACCAGGAAAATGAATATAAGAAAGTGAAAATCAAAATCAACAAAAAACTATGAACCAGAGACACTTTTTGGGGGTGGGGGGCGGGAGGGGAAGGATTGGGGTCAGAATGGGGCGTTTGCAATTGTATGGGGGAACATAAAAATAAAATTTAATATTTAAAAAAAAAAAATATAAAAAAAAAAAAATAAAATGTGTTTAGTTCAAGGAAAGAAGATAAATTATAGCTACTTACATAAAGGTTATAATGACTACACTTAAACCTCCAACAACTTAGTTGGGACCTACATAAGGGCTACAAATGGAAGCACAAAAAATATTTGAGCATAAACGCTAACTGCATAACTGCATTCAAAATTGTAAGCATGTTTACATAGGAATTTTATAATGCTACTAATAAAATTATTCTTATCTGAATCCAGGACTATCATTTGTTAATTCAAATAAAAGCTGAAAGTATTCAGAAGCCAAGAAGGGGCCTCTGGATGCTTACAGTCGGGCGGGGTGAGGAAAGGGGTGCTGAGGAGAGCATCTCATATTATCTATTCTCTGTGAACAATCAGAAGATATTTCTATAGAAGTAATTTCTGAATTATAACAATGGCCCAAAGTAGCAATCACAGACATGTTAAAGTGTTGAAATTTGAGAATGGAAGAATGCTAATGACTAGAGCTGATGGACCAGAACAAGAAGATTCATGGCAGACAATGCCCTTCGCTGTACATATTTCTGGTGATTTCCATTTCCAGATGATTCTATTCACACCAACAGGAACAAAAACAGCAGATTCACCCCAATGCTGCCTACCCATGCCTCATTAACCACCAGAGTAGCCTGTCGAAAGTTGGGGCAATAAGAGATTTGTTTCTTTTGTTTCTTGTATAATTTATAAGTCCTCTCAGGAAAATGTAAATAGATGTAGCTCAAGAGCCCTCTCTTTTTCTGACTATTTTGAGGACCTCAAGAAGCAAACTCTCTAAGGAAGGTGTGGGTCTTACAGGGACATTACATCATGCTATTTCTGTGAGCTTTGGCCACTGCAATGAGTTTAATCCTAAATAGGTTTTTTTGTTGTTGAGAATTTAGCAAAATTATCTTACCTCATTCCATCAGCCTTATGTGATGTTAAATATCCTCTATTCCAGTCTTGTCAAGACTTGGCAGCTCCCTAAAGGGGCCAGGGCTTGACAAGAGCACATACACTGCCCTTGGCTGATGGGTCTGTGCCTCTCAGCCTCTGCTTAGTCAGCCTTCCCAGTTCTCAAGAATCAGCTTGGGCAGCAAGGCCCTCATCTGAAAACCTTCCCAGGCATGGCCTGATAAGTGCCAGGCATTTTTGTCACTGTGTATTATCTCCTGTACTGGAATGTAAATTCCTTGATAACAGGGATCCCAAGCAGTAGAACCTGGTGGTTAAGAACTCAAATCCTCATGTTCAGTGAAATAAGCCAGAAAGAAAAAGAAAAATATCGGATGGTCTCACTTACAGAAGGAATGTAGAATATCCAACTAAGGGATCAGTCAAAAAAAAAAGTAACTATAATAAAGCAAAAATTAAAATCAACAGGCAGGGCCTCCCCAGTGGCGCAGCAGTTGAGCGCTGGGTTGCGAAGCTGCCCGCGGCCTCTGCAGCGCCAGTTAGATCCCCGGCTGCTCCCCGGCCACCGGAGGAGGGTCCCACATGGCGCGCAGACCTCTCCTGCCCCCGCTGCTCCCCTCAGCAGTATACTTCGGTCCTTCTGCCTGCTCTGCTCCCTGCTCTGGCTCTGGTGAATTCTCTCACCCTCCTGCGCTTCTGACTGTACCCAGTGCTTGTATGTATAAATAAATAAATAAAATCTTTTAAAAATAAATAAATAAATAAAATAAAATCAACAGGCAACTATAAACCAGAGACGTTCTGCAGAGGGGAGAAGGGAGTAGGATCAAAACAGGGATGGGAAGAGCACAAGGGACCATGGTGATAGTTCATGGGTGAATGGGTGGTGGGAATTGCACAGGGACTATAACCTAGATGAAAATACATACATTCTACAAAAGTGAAAAATTACGTAAAAAATATATAAAATAATATTTTTTTTAAAAAACTCAGATCCTGGAGTCAAGACCACCTGGACTTTGGATCTGGCTCCAACACTTATTAGCTATGTGACTTTGGATCAATTCTATAATGTCTTTATGCCATAATTTTCTCATCTATGATAATAATATTGCTTATCTCATTGAGTTATTATGAGAATTAAGTGAATTAATGCCCAAAGCAGCCAAAATACTAAGTTCTATTGAAATTTTCACTGAGATAGTTATCTTCTTCATACTTTTAGTACCTATCATTATTTGTATTTGTAGAGTGCCTGGCACAGTACATGGAACCTAGTAGGTACTTAGCCAAATATCTGAGGAATGAAAGAAAGAATGAGTGCAGTCATAAAGAAGACTCAAACCAGAGCTAAACCATAAAGCTTTCAAGAATTAAAAACCAAGGTGTCTCAACAATCATATATGTCCCAATTATACTGTGTAAGAATAATCAACATTCAGGGGTCTTCCTGGTGGTGCAGGCGGTTGAGCACAGCGTTGTGAAGCTGTCCGCAGCCTCAGCAGTGCTGGTTCGATCCCCGCAGGCCTCGGAGCAACCCACATGGTGAGCAGACCTCTCCTGTCTCGCCCTGCTGTTCCCCTCAGCAGTGTATTTCATCAGTCTGCGTGTTCTGTTTCCCGCTCTGTCTCTGGTGAGTCCTCTCACCCTCCCGTGCATCTGGCCTGTACCCCTGCTCTTGTACAAATAAAATAAATCTTTAAAAAAAAAAAAAAAAGAATCAATGTGCAAAATAAAAACCCTACAAAAGTCCATAATTCTTATCTTAGTCTGAATAATCAAAGAAAGATTAAATAATTTTCAGTAACATTTCCAGATTATATATTAAATTAATTCTAAATTCATCAAAACTTGCTATCCTCCAGTGGTAGAGATAACCATTCTTAAGCAGCCAGAGTATTTGAATTATCAGAATGCCCTGGGCCCAAACATTTCTGAATAAATCATCATTTTGCTGTATTTTGGGGCCAAAAAATAGCATTCCTTAGGCATCACTACATATAGATACCTCTCTGAACATATGCTCATTTATTTCCTTGTTCTCAAATTGTATAGATCCACAAATGTTGTAATATATTAACTTTAAAGAGACTACAACAACTTCAAATTTCCCTCTGGGAAGTAAATGCTGGGGAGTCCATGGGAGGGGTGGGGTGGTGAAAGAAATGAGAGTAGCCGACCCACACTTAAAGGGGAATTATAATCAGTGGGATCGCTGCTAGCTCACTGCCCACTTTTCAGCACAAATTTAGGCCAGTCATTTGTTACCCAACATTTGAGCACACATTTGTCATTCCTCTTGATTGTCCACATGCCTGCTATCCATTTGAGTCACACCACAGGCCCAGAAAGACATGACCCATTTTCAGAAGTGCAAAAAGTTAGGTCAGCACCCACATCTAAGGTGCCAAATCCTCTGTATTAAATATTTATAGGATATCTGCGAGAAAAAGTGCTCAGACAAACAAATCAATATTTCCCATGACCTTGAACCAGTTTGCTTCGGAAGGATATTTTCATTCACAGCTTCATACCTTTAATTCTCCAATGGAAGAAAGCAGTCCTGCTCCATATGCCCGCAGTTGCCCTTCTTGCTTACAAAGGCCAAACTCAATTGTGAAGAAATAGCACTGAAAAAAAAAATGGATACATATCCAATGAACCAGTGAACTCCCCTATAGTGTTTTATGGTACCCAAAATAAAAAGGTATACTGTGCATAATTTTTTCGACACTCTCAATGTAAATACATTTTTATTCATTAACTATATTTAAATACAGGCAGAAAATTAATTGAAATCTATTCTCTTGTTTAATAATCCCTCCTTTGCTGAAAAGTATATGGAAAAGGTCTAAACAACTAAGAGTTTTATGCTTCCTCGATTCAGAAATTGCATGAGTTATAACATATCCTCTGCAATAATTTTAAAAATCAGAAAACTCAAATTTAGAAATGAATTCATATGTTACAATGCTAACACTATAAGAATATGCTACTATATTTACCAAGTTGTGTTTCAGAGACATAAATAAGTTCATGCAAATGTGGAAATATAATTTGGAATGCAGTAATCCCAAAATGCTTTTTCTGTAGTTTGTTTATTCAACAAACATTTGTCGTGTACCTACTAGGTGCCAATACTTGTTAAAAACAATGGTGGTAAAGAAACAAGAGAGAGACCAAAAAAGCAAGTATATAACTACTAAATTACCAAAACTAAAATTTTAGTATGAGCCATTTCAGTGAAACCTTAAGTACATATCTGTGTTAAGCACACACACACAGAGATATACTTACATATGTGTAAGTATATATGTATGTGTGCATAGATACATATATATATGTAAATACATATATAGTAAGAACCATTTCACTCTCTTGAGTTTTACCAACATCAATTACTATAGCTTCCCTAAGACACCAAAACCTACAAGTGTTTCCATTGAGTTTAGGAACTCAATCTAGGCAAAGAGAAGTCACTATACAACGACAACCCAAAAAAACCTCACAGTGCTCTTAAGAAAGGCTAAAATCACACTGTTTTTGCTCTGAGAGAAAAGTGAGAGGCTGACAATGAGCAATAAAAATTGCATCGAATTAACAACTGTCCTACATTAGTGACGACAGAGCACTGAAGGTGTCGAGAAAGAGAATTTAAACATCCCTGAAAAGGAACAAAAATAAATATTATTCCCAACCTTTGGCAGTATGCTCTATTTTTATTTGGAGGTTATATCCCTTGGACCTAAGTACTAGTCCTTCCAGATCATGGAGCTGAAACTCTTGAAGCAACACTTTCTTTCCTGATTCACCTCCTCAAAAGGCTAAAATCACTGTCCAACCTACTCCCATCACCACGCACAGTGCCCACCAGTACAGACTTACTCTGTTCTGACTCATCTTTCTTTTCCATCATGCCACTTTTTGAACATGGTTTTAATTTCTTTCTGTATGAAATTACTGCTTGTCATCTGCCTCCCCATATAGCCTATAAACTCCATGAGGGCAGCTACCTCTGTATGTTCGTCTAGAACTGGGTTTCCCAACTGCAGCATTATTGACAATTTGGATGCAACAATCCCTTGCTGGGGTAGGGAGCTGTCCTACACACCATGGGATGTTAATAGCATCCCTGACCTCTACCCGATAGATGCCTGTAGCATTCCCACCCCCCAGCAGTAACAAAAATGTCTCCAGCCACTGAAAAATGTTTCCAGGGCAGAGGGAACAGGACCCCTGCTTGAGAGCCATGGATACTGAATATAAGTGAAACATAACCAGAACTCAATAAATATTTGGTGGCTAAATAGATAAACAGTGAAGAATGATCTCTACAATTGGTCTGTTGTATGGCAGCATTACCTGGAAGAAAGAAGTGCATGAGGAAGCTTAACTTCTGGCCTCAGTTCTGCTTCTCATTAGCTATGTGATATTCACCCATTTATTCATTCATTTATTCTATAAACACTCCTTCAAGCATCTTATATATGCCACCCTGTGCTCTAACCTTTAAGGATATACAATGAACAAGACAACAAATTCCTTGGTTTCATGAAGCACATATGCTACTGAGATAAGACTGGCAATAATGGCTTTTTTTGGTAAAGATATATTTATTTATGCATACAAGAACCAGGGTACAGGCCAGAGGCACGGGAGGGTGAGAGGATTTACCAGAGACAGAGTGGGGAGCAGAACGGGAAGATCTACTGAAATACACTGCTGAGGGGAGCAGTGGGCGAGACAGGAGAGGTCTGCCACGCCATATGGGATTCGCGCTGGCTGGCCGGGATCGAACCTGCACTGCAGAAGCTGTGGACATCTTCACAGCGCTGCGCTCAACTGCCCGAGTCACCAGGGGAGGCCTGTAATAATGGCTTCTGTTCTTGTTGACAACAAACAAAAGTCAATATATTTTTGGATACTAGGTATCCAAACATCAGGATAATATCAACTGGAATATGCTGTATAAGTCATCAAACCATATTAAGCAGAGGTCATGACTGTTTCAGATGGCAAGATCAGGGAAGGCTTCTCTGGGGGTATTTAAACTGCAGCCTGCTGAAAAATCAACATATCATTAAGAAATAAAAAGGCCAATTCTGCAAAGATTTAGGGTAAAGAGTATTCTCAACACGGGAAATAGCAAGAGCAAAGGCCATTAGCATGAATGGATTTGTATTACCAAGAGCAACCTGAGGTTACTGGAAGGTTTTAAGCAGGAGAGGGACATATTCTGGTTGGTTTGATTATTTTTTTGAAGATATTTTGCTTGTGTTTTAACTCTAACTTTCAATTTATTTTTTATTTTTTAATGAAATATGATTGCTTTACATTCTTGTTAAGTTGGTTTTTTTGGCTTTTTGGCAGTACAGGATTTCTCCCCTCAGGCGTGATCACCATAGCTCTCCCACTACAAAAGCATCCGTCATCTTCCACTGTAGTCCACTGTGGAGAGACAGTTTCTGGTGTAGTTTCAAAAGACCACACTGGTGCTGGTGCTGAGTAAAGAATCAATTGAAGTGGAACAAGAGTGAGAGCAGAGAGATTCATTAGAAGGCAGCAGCAGCCAAGAGATGAGTGGTGAGTGGAAGGGGATTGGGTGAAGTCAGTTTCTTAGGAGCCATATGAAAATAGCCAAAAAAAAATAACAGCTATGTCTTTGAACTGAAATATTAAAATACAGGCCTCAAGTTTATCCTCCCAAAAAAAGTTTCCACAATCCTGGCCACAATGAACAGAAGTGATCATATAGTCAGAACAAGAGGCCTAAAAGTTCAACCTCCTATTTTACTAAAAGGAAAATTCCAGTTCAAGGAAACGAAGTGATTTACCCAGGACCAGTTTAGATGATGACATTTAAGAGATCTAGAGCTCAGTATTTTAAAGAGCTCAACATCTGTCACAGTTTAAACTTTCTAGGTAAAAGAGCAATAGATGCATGAGTTTCCCTTACAAGCAGAAAAATGGGGAAATGAAATTCTAAAAAAGAGTAAAACTAGAATTACATGACATCTTAGTGGGTCTGGCTGATTTCCCAAATTTATATTGAATTTATAGTATATAATGTGAAAGTCTTGGAGCCTTACTTAAATACTGAAGAGTTAGATGGGGTGGTGGGGGGAAACGTTCAATAGTCTTCAAAATATACATACAGAGGCAGCTACAGCCAGGTTAATCTATTAAGTGCCTTTTTTATTTTCCTTACACTGTTTCTATGCACACATAAATCATGGTCATGGTTATAATCCAAATCAAAACAGGCTGAAAGTGTCCCTAAGAAATTCTGGTGTGTCCTACACACAGTGTTCACGTAGATCTGGCATCCCATTCTATTCTGAGACAGGCATTGAAAGGCCCATATCAATGAGACTAAAGATTTGAAGTTACATCTACCAGTATACCTGTGGTTCCATGTGATTCCAGATTCAAGGAAAAGAGCCACTGAGTGTCTTTCTTCCCATCACGCGGAGTGCTCTCTGGCCCATACCTCACCTGGGAGTCCTTCCAGAAACTCTGACCTTACACAGCTCCATCTGTTCACCCCCTTTGGTTTCCTGCTGTCCTTAACCAAGGAAAGTGCCTAGATGCTGCTTCCACAGTCCACTCTACTAGAGAATTAGACCTTTTGCTGAATGGTATAAAATAGAACAGAATGCCAAATCTATGTGAGCACCCTGCATACAACACACCAACTTTCCATGTGCAGCTCCATGTGTGCACATCGAGAAACAGCAAAATGCACCTGAACCTTGGGTGTTAGCAAAGTTTGAATCACAGACATGCTCAAAATAATTTTTCTCTTTTGTCAGGACTGATGAAGACCTCAAATGTAGAGCTCTCTGGGGCATGAGAAGAGGAGGAGGATACAACTGCATATTTCTTCCATCTGGTTTTAAATGCAAAGTCTCCTTAATGTTGGGCTCTGTAGGGGCCTCCCTGGTGGCACAAGGGGTTAAGTCTCTGCACTGTGAAGCAGAACTCGCTGTAGCACGAGTTCAATCCCCGGCCAGGGAGGTGACACAATGGGGCAGCAGACCTCTCCTGTCTCGCCCGCTGCTCCCCTCAGCAGTGTATTTCAGTCAGTCTGCCTGTTCTGTTCCTCACTCTGTCTCTGGGGAATCCTCTCAGCCCCGTACCGCTGGCCTGTACCACAGTTCTTGTATGCATAAATAAATGAACCTTGAAAAAAAAAGATGGGCTCTGTGACCCCCTTGAAGACCTTTGAGAATTCAAAAAATTAATTGCTTCTTGAAACTTTAAGAAAATAGCACCTGCTTTCCTCAGAACACTCTCCAGATGTGGGTCTATAATATATTCCTTAGAGACTTAACAAATAATGATCTACCTATTAACAAAATCTAACAGAAAAAAAAAAAAAAAAAAAAAACCTTACCTGAGCTTTGGAAGAACATGTATAAAGAGAACAGCAGAGTCTTGGCCACTAATGTTTTTTAAACAGAAACAAATAATAATAGTAGGAATAACACCTCCCAAATTGAAGGGTACCTTTCATTAAAGCTGATGCTCATGAATTCCAAATTTTACACACCACTAATTAAAGGTAATTATTTATAAATATTTTATTTGAATATAATTACATATAATCATTAACTGAAAACCAAAACAG